AGGGAGCCCGGCCGCATGGCCCCCCTCCCAGCTCTGCCCGCGGAGTCCGGGTGGCCCCCCACCTCCCCCCCTCAGCCTCTGGCAAGGGGACCGAGGGGGGAGCGCGGACCCGCCGGCTGCACCTGCTCCGTCTGCAGCGCCCCCGCTTCCCCGGCTCCGCCGCGGTTCCTGCCTCAGCCTCTGCCGCCGCCGCCGCGCGTTGTTGCAGACCCGAGTTCCTTCCCCGCTGCTAACTTTCTGCCGGGAGAGAGGAGAGGCGCGGAGGGGAGGAGGAGGGGGCCGGGCGCGCGCCCGGCGCCGCCAGGGGAAGGGGGGTGAGCCTCGCGCGCGCCTGCGAAGGGGGGCGCGGGAGCGGAGGCGAGCGCCAGGGCTGGGGCACCCGGGAGAGCGGAGATCGTGCCCCCCTAGCCCCAACAGACACCCAGTTGTGGTGTACCCGATCTGACCTCGCATGTCTCCCCTCCCTTGGGAGCTTGGGTCTCCGGGTTCTCCCTTCCTCTCCCCAGTACTTTTAGGGACCAGAGCCCAACGCCAGCCACCGGTTCCTCGCACAGGGGAGCTGGTGCATAGCGGGTAGGGAGCTCTTGTTCCGCTCTTCCCCTGGGACTCCAAGCAAACTCAGCCCCTCCCTGACCCTTCCTTCCCTCACCCCCGATTTTGTCCTGCCTTTGCTCTATGAGTGAGTTCTTCAACACAATAGCTTCCTAACTTCCATCACACCCTAACTTCCATCTTTCCAGCCTGCCCATCTTATCTTGAAGCTTCTGTTGGGTGGAGCTTTGGATACAATCCCCCAGATTTCCCATCCCCAGAGCTTTTCTTTCAGTTCCATCACCAGGTGACTGTACTTTCTCCCCCAAGAGATGAAGCTGTTTCCTCCTGAACGCCCTTAACCCCAGGTGCACACACCTGCGCTCTTTGCGGGGCTCGGCCACTAAAGGAGTTAAGATTTCCCCGAGACTGAAGTGAAATAGGAGCATCATCGCTTTCAAAGCCTAATAAGCAGAGGCCAGCTGGGTTGCAGGGCGTCTGTGTATCGCCTCCCTGAATTTTGTTTTTTAAGTGTATTTCCTTTGCAGAAAGATTTCCACCCCTCTCCTCCCTCTCTTGGGGGTAAATGATAAACATCAGAAGGCTTTGGAAGATTCAGAACTAAACTCTGCTTCCTGTTGCTTTTTGCTCAGAGAAGTGAGGAAAGAAGGAGGCTGGAGTGGGAGCAAGAGACAGAGTGGTCCACTAAAGCGCTCCAGGAAACTTTGGAGCTTTCTGAACAGTGGCTGGCCCTGCACACAGCCTCTGAGAGCGAGCCCCCAGGCCTCTCTAGTGAGACCCATTTACCCTGCTAGCCACAGCTGGGTGCCTGGTGGGCCGCTTTCCCCGTCGTGGCTGCCGGGGCTTGGCATCTCCAGGTTTGTATGATCACATAATAGGAAAACCAGTTGAAAGAAAATGTATATAATGTCTAAATATTAACGAGATACCTAGTGCCAAAGAGAAAAAAAAAAAAAACGTTAATCAAATAAGATGAAGAACACGGACTTTTCCCTGAGTGAACAAAAGCTCACTGCTGCTCTCAGCTGGACATGAGTTTCCTTCACTGCAGCTTCAGTTCAGATAAAGATTATTCCTTTATAATATATTTTTTATGGTACACTGGAGACCTCTGAAATGCAGAGTCTGGTGTCCTGTAAATCATTCTGTGTAACTAGGGATGCTTTTTCAAACACCGCACAACTACATTACCGTAATGTCAATGGGAAGGGGCCAACTGGAATGAGTGAAATACACTCTCTGCCCTTCCTTCCTTGAGCTCCAAGCCTAGCACCAGGGTGGTCAGCCAGGAAGCCTGGGTTGCAAAAAATATTGTCATGGCATCAACCCATCTCCCGTTCAAAGCCCAAGCACCAGGGTGTCCAGCATGCGGCCCAGGCCTCCTTGCCATTCTTGCTTAGCACCCCAAAACTTTTCCATCCACCCTCTTCAGTAAGCCAAACAAACCTGCTCTGTACCCAGGTTTATTAAAGATGTGCTCTCAAGTTTGGAAAGATTATGATAAAATGATACTAAAACAAACAGACAGCTGAATGTCACTGGCATATGGATATTAAGACATTTAAACTGACTATAATAGTTTAAAATGGGAGGAGGGGTATGTTTCCCCAAGGTAAAAACCTAAATAGGAAGTTTCTCTTGAAAATTCAGCCGATTCAGAATTTTGGGTTCCTCGGCCAGAGGTGAGAAGCTGCTGCCCCTTTAGATGGAATGTGTGTGCCTCATTTTTCATGGTGCCCATCCAGATTGCCCCACATTTATGTCACTTGCCTAGACACAGCTAGTAATGAAACTTCTCACTATGTCTTTTGCCTGTGATCCCCAAATAGGCATGTTTTATAATAAGAAACTTTTGAAAGAATGGAGCCCCATTGGTAAAATGTCAGACCCTACAAGTGATAGGGAGGGGGTGGGGGTTTTTTTAAGAAAAGCTTTATAGATTTCACACATAGGCTGTCGCCTATTTTTTTTTTCCTACTTACAAGCCAGGCTTTTTTCTAGGAGCAAGTCCTTGAGAAACCTACAATGAGAAGTGGGAGCTACGTATGTAAGGCAAACTCTGACGTCCTTCAGCCGTTCCTGATGGGTCTGGAGACAAGGTAGACTATAATCTCGCATTTCCACTGCCAACACCTACTCTCATTCAGATGTTTTTGAGTTTTTATAAGATTCTTCCAACTGGTCTGCAGGCCTCCAGTGTGTTTCATTTCTATTCATCCTAAACAATAATAGATCGATGTGTTTCCAAAGTAATGTTCCCCAGCTCTGATAATGCCCTCGCTGACTCGAAAGACCCTTCTCTCTCAGCCTAACTAATAAACTACAACCTCTTCACCTTGTTACTCAAAGGTCCTCTCCCAGCTTTTGTGCATCTCATAGTTCTGCCAAACCAAATAGCACATATTATCCAAATACACAAATTATGTTCTTCTGTTCTACCTCTGTATTACGAGGTGATAGAGTTCAAACAAAGCTGTCATTGGCTAGCTAAATGGCTTTTAGATGGGTCATTTTGTTTCCCTGAGCCTCAGTTTCTGCATATATCAATTTTAGATGTGTAAATTACAAATTATTTTTACAAAGAATTAAATTGAATTAGCTAGCATATGCAAAAATACCTGGCTCCCTGTTTGATACAGGGTGGCTACCAAGAATTATTTGGATCTAAATATTGGTTCATGCCATGCTTTGTTTATCCTGTTAAAGTGCTATTCTTAAAAAATATGTGTATACTCTTTTTTCAAAACCATCCCAGTGTAAAAGCTGAATTTCACTTTCCTAAGCTACTTGGTTCATAGCGTTGACAATGACAAGTCTAATGCCTTCTAGAGTATTGGTTAAGTAGTTGATACCGACTCTGGCTAACTTTGTTTTTTTGTTTCTCAAAGAAAATTACCAGAAGGACTTATGGTAACTCAAACAACTAAAGGCAATTTTTAAAAATTGACACACAAAAAGCAAAAATAGGCTTTGGAAAGGACAGTACTGTATCGTAGTAATTACTGACTTTCTCCAAATATCCTCCAATCTCCATGTGTGCACCTGCCAGGGATACCTCTTGGCCCCTTTAAGTGAGGTGTGACTCCTTGACACTGTGATGAAACAGAAGCAGAAAAGATGTTTGTCCCTTCCAGGCAGGAGCTTTGAAAGATAGTGGGAGATTTGCCACAATGTGTTTTCCCTATCTGGCAATCTCAGAAGAAAGGGAGGAATCTGTCTTAGCCTGCACCTACACAGTCCTACACACTGAGTAAAGATAATATAGTTCCAGCCCCTCATGGAAGCAACATGATCAAGGAACAAACCTATGCTTTATGCAGCTCCTAAGACGTGGGGCTTGTTTGCTACCATAATACAAGGTTATTAAAACACACTTACTATTAACTATTTTTCTTGCAGTTGAACAAAATGACTGCATTCCTCCAGTATTAGAGGTTTTATTTCACAAAAGTAGATAAATGACAGATTGGAAACTCTATCAGTTTAAAATAAAATTTTCCTTGCAGTAAGGACAGAACCCTGTCTTACATACAGTAGTAACTCTATTCCCCAGTTTTTCCTTTACCTGTTAATAAAGAAGTTTATCTGTAGAAATTAAGAGATAAACCAGGGGACCCTCCAGAAAAAAACAAGCTGGTGACAAGAAGGAATATTATATACTTGAGAAAGGACCCCCAAATTTAAAACCTAATAATAATGGTACAAACTTATAGGAACGTACAGGAAAAAGAGCTCATATGGGAAATAAGGAATTTCTTAGAGCAAGAAGCACAACACAACAAACTCTGGTGGATAGAATAAAACAATACTTATAAGAAAAAGTATAGATTACTTATTATAAAAGAATAAAAATTTAAAATGAATGGAATACATTTTCAAGTCAAGAATCTGGAACAAAAACAAGAGAGAAAGTGAGGAAATAATAAAGCATTAAGCATTGGTGTGTATTTATTTGCTGTTTATTTATTGCTATGGACTGTATTTTGCCCCCCAAATTTGTATGTTGACACCCTAACCACTCAATATGACTAGATCTGGAGATAAGGACTTTAGGAGATAATCAGGGTTAAATGAGGTCCTATTCCTAATAGGACTGCGACCTTAGAAGAAAAGGAAGAGCTCTCCTCCTCCCCCTTTCTCTCTCCTATCTCTCTCTATGAAGGCAGTAAGAAGGTGGCTGTCTGCAAGCCAGGAAGAGAGCCCTCACCAGAACTGGACCGTGCTAGCCATCTGATCTTAGACTTCAGTCTCCAGAACTGTGAGAAAATAAATTTCTATTGTTCAAGCTACTCAATCTATTATATTTTGTTATGGGCACCTTGAACTGATGAAAACATCTTTCATGATTTAGGTTTATTTACATGTTTATTGTATTTTTATAAGTTTTCTATTGCTTAGTCACCATATCCTACTAATGTCTAAAAGCCTCAAATTTATTAGATACCAGGCTTTTTCCTCTATCAGGTATCTCCCAATTATTGAGTTACCAATTTGCCTTTATCAGTAAACTGGTTTTGGTGTTTCCAATGGCATATGTTTTTTCATAACTATGCGACCAATCTCTTAATTATGTCTTTTATGGATTTTACCTTTGATGGAAAAAGATATTCCCCAAAGTATATAAATACTCATGTATACTTTCTTCTAGTACATTTTTTTTAACTTATTTTCTACATATAAATATTTAAAGTGCCTGAACGTCATTTTGGTGTACAGATTTGCTTAAGTATCTAACTTTTCCTAACATTAGTTATTTCGCAACAGTTTGATACTCCGAGGTAATCATTATAATAATAAATCCATAATGCTATAATTTTCCAATACAGAAATATAAAAAACAAATGTCCATTCATTGAAATCTCTCATAACTTTTATTTGACTTCTGTAATTTTACTGACATAAACCACAAACAAACCCATGTCTGGATCAATGTTTTGACATCTAATTCTGCTTTGTTCAATTTTATAAAATCTCTTTTTCTTTGTTTCATTCATTTCTTCATTCTTTCCATTATCACTTTTAAGTGACTGGTCTATTCTGGGCACTGAATTAGACACGCAGGATAAAGCCGCGAGACAGACCAGCAAGATCCCTATCCTCATAAACGCAGGAACAAGCAAGCAAGTTGAATAAAGTGAAACAAGTTCTGCAAGAGGGAGGATCCAGAGTGCCATGGAAGCTCAGTGACGGAGCACCTAACCCAGTGTACGGGCGTGAGACAACCTTTCACGGAAGGGACATTTACGTCCACTTGCAATATAAAGGAAAAAATAGATGAGTCCAGGTAAAGAAAGAAGATTACAACATCTCACCCACTTCATTCATTAGGAATATATTAGGCAACCTAAACTAAAGGTATTTACCTCCCTTTCCTCAAAGGGAGATAAGTCAAAGCCAGACAGGAAACATGACGATGAGACATGATGAA